GCCTGCAGCTGTGGCAGAGTCCATCCCTCACAGCACAGGAAATTAGAGTCACAGAAGGGTTAGGGTTGGAAGTGACCTCTGGAAATCATTCAGTCCAACCCCTTGCCAAGGTAGGGGCACCTGGAGCAGGTGGCACAGGAGGGTGTTCAGGTGGGTTTGGAATGTCTCCAGAGAGACTCCATGCCCTCCCTGGGCACCTGTCCCAGTGCTCTGCCACCTCCATGGAAAGTTCTTCCTCATGTTGAGGTGGAACTCATGTTTATGACCATTGTTCCTTGTGCTCTCACTGGGCACCACCGGGTTAGTTGCAATTCATGAGACATCAGTGAGCAGTGAGTGAGAAGCCTCAGGTCACAGCAAGGGAAGCTGGACAAGCCAGATGTACCTCACTCACACCAAGCACTGTACCCCAAGCCAGCCCTGCTCCTTCCTGGGGCTGCAGCACCCCAGTCTGGAGGCTGCAGGAGGTGAAAATGAGGTGAATAAACCCATTTCTTCCCCTTTTACACCCCAGAGGACACACAGGCCCAGCCATGACAAGCCCCAGGGTGACAGGTGGTGGTGCCGTGATGCTGCTGCTGCAGCCACAGGGGCCATGGGGGCTGTGGGGTAATGTTTAGCCTTTGCCATGAGGGGCTTCATCCTGGTGTTAGCCCTGTGCAGGGAACTGCTGCAGTTCTCTTCAGAGGTCATGGGATAAACTTTACCCCTTCCTACCCTGAGGTTGCCCATCACCACAGATCCTCCTCCCCAGATCCTGCCTCCAGTTGAGCTGCAAATACACTCAGGGAAGTATTTGGGCCCAGTTCAAAACCAATTTCTTCACTGTTAGGGTGTTCAGGCACTGGAATATTGCCCAGAGAGGTGGTGGAATCAACATCCCTGGAGGTGTTTAAGAGGTGTCTGGACCTGGTGCTGAAGGATATAGTTTAGGGATTACAGCAGGGATAGGTTAATGGTTGGACTTGCTGATCTTAGAGGTCTCCTCCAACCTTGATGATTCTATGATTCAGATGTCTCTAGGCATGACCAACCAGCAAGGAGGTCACAGAGCATCCTAGGAGAGGAAGGGACCATTTTACAACCAACTAGGAGGGATATTTTTGAAAGTCCATGTTCATCATTGCAGTTCTGCCAGCAAAACCTTTCCAGCAGAAAATCATTGGCTTGATTAAAAATGTTTTTACTGTCCAATTTAATTTGAAATTTGTCTAATTTGGGGCTTCCAATGCTTTGCCTTGCTTTGCCTTGCTTTGCTTTGCTTTGCTTTGGGGGCTTTTGGGTGCCCTGGGCAGTAGAGACCAGGCTCTGCTCCGCTCAAAGAGACAGGGCTGACCTCCAGTTCTCCTGGAAATAAATACCATTTCATCAGAGACTTGTCCAGCATCAGACTCTCTCCCTAGGAAGAACCTTTTAAGTCCCCCATTTGGGCAGAATTTTCAGTAAAAGGGGATTACTATAGGTTTCCCTTCTAACTTAGCAAGGAGAAATCGAGGTTACTGTCACCTGAGAGGGAAGCAACCATGGGACTGCAGAGCTGGCAGCACATCCAGGGATGAACAGCTCAACCTGCCCCTTTCCCAGGGGCAGAGCTGTGCTCCCAGCAGGCTCAGAGCCACAGAGGCAGCTCCAGAGCAGAGGTGGAGAAGACTTGGCTCCCAGTCCCCTGATCTACCCAGGAGAGCTTCACTCTCAGAGCAGTTGCATCTTCCCCTCGAGATTCAGTCGCACTACAGAGGGGTTTTTCCCCACATGATTTCCCATGTTCCTACTAAAACTGAAATCCATGAAACTTTGTTTTCCCATGACAAGCAATGTGGTTTGCCACCAGAGAAGGGTGAAATGGGACATGGTGAGTGGGGAGCATTATACTTTGAAGAAGTAGGAGAACTTGCAGAGTGAAGAGTTTTGGGGTTGGGTTGTTCTCTCCCCCCTCCATCTAAAACACGAGGCAGCCCCACTAAGCCACCTGTGACCTACAGTGAGTGCATGTGGGCTCTGGTGCTGCTGCAGGGCTCCTTGCTGTGGCTGCAGAGATGCACTGGTAAGCCCTGAGGTTTTGCTCTGCAGCAGTTTCAGGTCTCTTGGTGTGCAGGACCTGCCCATGACCTGGGCATGGGCACAGACTGACTGCCCAGCACCCAGCACCCATATTGCCTTTCATCTCACTTCCATCCCTCCCCACCCTACAAACCCCACCCCTTTTTCTTAATTACCCAATTAGCATAATTGTACTCAGCTCAGAGCAGCAGTTCTCAACCCTTGGTGTGCCATTCCTGCCGCTGTTCCAGCTCTGGAGAAGGCTTTGTTGCCATGAAACCTCTCTTGCATTTTCCAGCTCTACCAGTTGGTCAGGTAACAGTTATTAACTCTCCCTGCACATCTTTCTTCCTGTGCCAGGCCCTGAGTGTGTGAGTTCCCTCTGGGGATGGCAAACAGGGAGACATCCCAGGACACTGCTCGGCACAGCTCCCACCAGGGCACTGAGCTCAGGGCTGAGATCGCAGCTGGAACCTTTTGCCTCCAGTGGTGGAGCAGGTTGGGCCACGGCAGATCCTGGGATCTCCCCACACATGGAATCCAATCACTCCCAAGGGCTGAGTCGCTTGAGTTGGCCAAGATGAAGACTCACTTCCCAGAGCTGTTCCTGCCAGCAGTACCAGGAGCTCTGTCCTGGGGGGAAGGCCAAGGGGGCAGAGAGTCCTGGCACTGTGCTAGGCTGCAGCTGCTTGGCCAAATTAAGCTTGAAAAGGTTACAAAAAAAGAGTGGAATAGGCTCTGTGTGGACATGCAACTGCTCCAGTCAGGCAGGAGGACACTGAGGGGGTGGAGGGGCAGGTGGAAGGACACACACTGAGCACCTGTGCTCGCTAAGGGAGCAAAGGTGCATTTTCCAGCTGACAACCACCTCTGATCTAACAGAGATTTTGGAGTGAGTTTTCATGCTGAGTCGTAAATCTTCTGCAAAGGACCTGTTGGGTGTTGTGGCAGCACAGGTGCTAATGGCCATGCTAGAAAGAAATGTCTCATCAGTCACCACCTACCCTAACCCCCTCTGCCTAGAACAAAAATGAGAAGTTTCATAGATTCATGGATTGTTAAGGGGTTGGAATGGAGATTATAGATCATTATAGATCATCCAGCCCCAACCTCCTGCCCTGGGCAGGGACACCTCCCACCAGAGCAGGTTGCTCAAGGTTTTAGCCAACCTGGAATGAACATTGTCAGGGTTGGGTCAGACACAGTCTCCCTGGGCAACCTGTGCCAGTGTCTCACCACCCTCACAGGGAAAACTTCTTCCCAGGATCTAATCTCAATTTTCTCTTTCAATTTCTCCCCATTACTGCTTGTCCTGTCACTGCAGTTCAGCTCAGTATCTCTGAGTTGGCTGAGGGAAGTGATGTGATGCCCAGAGCAATCCAGCTGTCCTGCTGCTTTGGGACCCAATGCCAAACCCACCTGTGATGGCTCTTCCTCACCTGCACTGCCAGCTCAGAGGCTGCTGTGGAGAGTCCTGCAGGAGCATGGGGCTACCCTTCCCTATCCCTAAAGAAAGGCATGTTTTCCTGGGAGGTTTGAGTTCCTTTGGAGCCCTCACACTTGGATGCCATTTCCTTCTAGCCCTGTCTGGGGACCTGCACTTTGCTACCAGTTTATTGCCTTTTCTGCCCTTTATGAACTCACTGTAAAGGGATGTGCTGCAACACATCCACGGGATGGGGTGGCTTTGGAACCATGGATGCTGCAACTCCTCTGGATACCCTGGGAACATGGATAGGCACTGCCACAGCCACCAAAAGCAATGCTCCGTGGGGGCTGAGCATCTCCTGCCATGCAACCAGACAGGAGACCCAGTGTGGTGTGAATTCTCACCAATTCATAGCTTCATAGATTGTTAAGGGGTTGGAATGGAGCTTAGAGTGCATCCAGTGCCAAGCCCCTGCCCTGGGCAGGGACACCTCCCACCAGAGCAGGTTGCTCACATCCAACCTGGCTGTGAACACTGCCAGGGCTGGGGCAGCCACAGCCTCCCTGGGCAACCTCTGCCAGCGTCTCACCACCCTCACAGCAAAAACTTCTGCCTAATACCTAAATTTCCTCTTTCGATTTCTCCCCATTCCTCCTTGTGCTGTCCCTGCAGTTCCTTGCCAAGAGTCCCTCTGCAGCTTCCCTGGAGCCCCTTCAGCTCCTGGCAGGATCCACACAACCTTCTCTTCTCCGTTCAATTCTCCCCTCCAGCTCTGCTCTGGGGCTGAGCTGACACATTCCCAGCTGCTTTCACTAGAGCAGCTGCAGTTTGAGGGGCTGTGATACATGAAATGACAGGGCTAGGGGGGAAGCACTGGCCTGAGAGATGGATTCAACTCATGCTCTCCTGAAACACTGTTGGAATTAAGCCTTGAGATGGTGCTGTGTCCCAATTCCCACAGTTCCAAGGCTGTGCTGGGAGAGCCAATGGGAGAGTTGGTGTCTAAAGTTATACCCAAAACCAGAGAAATGGAGGTTGGAGGAGCCAGCAGGCAGCTCTGTTGAGAGACCCAAGCCTGGAGGGTTGGAGGTGATGCATTGCTGGATCCCAGCAGGATTGACCTGTGCTCGGAGTCAGGAGGGCTCAGCAGAGCTTCTGGGACATGAGGGAGCAACCTGGGGGGCTGCAAGAGATGAAGCCAAAGCTAGTCTGGCCTCAGGACATTGCAGGGTGGCAGGAGAGGACCAGGTTATCCTCCTCAGCAGGCTGTGGAGCAGCCCTTGCCCTGCCAGTGCTCCCCAAAGATGAGCCCACACTGTGCCCTGCCCAGGACACTGTCCTTTAATACACCTGCATCCCCCTAGGGACACCTCAGGCTGCATTTGCTGGAGGATGGGGGAGTGGAAGGACCAGCTGCCATCTCTGGGGCCTCTCTGCAGTGGTGGGAGGGGAGGGATGGCCAGTGACCCCTTGGAGACAGCATGGCCAGTGCAGGTGGCATCAGGGAACCTCTGTGTCAGGGCTGTGCCAGGGCTGAGCAGGAGCAGGGCTGAGGGCAGTGCTGAAAGAAAGAAGCTCAGGTCTCCTTCCCACGCAGTTGTTCATGTGCTTCAGCTCAGTGATGAGTTCAGGGTAAGGGTGTACAGGGCACAGAGGGGCAGTGAGGGAAGGGAGGAGGCAGCAGGGGTGGGAGGCTCTTCTTCCTGATGCTCCTGTGGGAAAAAACAGAGCAGTGGGGAAGAACAGGAAGGTTTGGGCTGCTTTCAGCGGCCTGATGTTGGATGCCCATGTTGCACAGGATGAGTGTGGCATGGGCAGCAGACCCTGGAGAGGACCTGGGGCAGGAGAGCTGCTGGCAGGGGCCTCATGGCAGGGACATGTGGGACAGACACCCAGTCCAGGGCTGGGAGATGGGATGTGATGCCTTTTCCCCTGAGGAGTGGGGGCAGGTTCTGTATTTCCATGGTTACAAGCACAGATCGGAATGCTGCAGGGAGCAGAGGGGGAGGAGGAGCTGTCCCCTACCTCTCACTGCCCCGTGGGGGACTTGGCAGCATCGAACATCTTCTTCCTGCCCTCCATGCCCGACATAGCCTCCACATTCTTGCGCCAGTCGCCCACCTCCACGGGCCGTTCCTGCGGGAGGGATGCAGGGGCTGAGGGACAGGGCAGGCACCAGCCCTCCCTGTCCCTCCCCTGGTGCACAAGCAGCATCTGCCCTGTTGCAGACACCTCCCTGAGACCCAGCTCTGTCCTGTGTCCCTGCACGTGGACCATGGCAAAGAGCAGCCTGGTCTGCACAGGGAGATGTGGATTCACGTGGATGTGTCCCTCACCCCCCTCCCAAAGCCTAGCTAAGTTGCTTTAATGCACTAGAAGGCAAAAAAATCCCAGATATATTTCTTTAGGAGGAAGGAACCAGCACATGGGTCTTGCTCTGGATCTACACCAGCACACTGGGGCTAATGTAAGCAGAACCAGTCTGCATCAGCTTCCCAGCCCACACAACCCACCTCCACCTTCCCTAAGCTTTCAGAGGGGACTGGGATTGCTGGTGTGGCAGCTGCTTCCAGAGCAGACAGGGAGGTGACAGCAGCTCTGGGAGCTTGCCCAGGTGTCTGCTCTGCCAAGCCACAGTGTTCATAGATTACAAGTCATGCCCCAACATCATCTCCTGATGACTATAATAAACCTAGATCTATTCACCACCTGGTGCTGAGAGCTGCAAACACAGTTTTCTAGCCAAAGGACTTGAAAAGTTCTATACTAGTAACAGGGGAAAAGAGGACTTGGCACTGGGGAGGTCACATCTCAGTGCTGGGGTCAGTTTTGGGCCCCACACCGCAAAAAGGACATTGAGACACTGAAGAGAGTCCAGAGAAGGGCAAAGAGGCTCATAAAAAGTCTAGAGCACATGTCCAGCAAGGTCAGAAAAGGCGTAGAGCACATGACAAAGGGCTGAGGGAGTTGGGTTTGTTCAGCCTTGAGAAGAGGCTCAGGGGTGACCTCATGGCTCTCTATAACTCCCTGACAGGGCTTGGAGAGAGGTGGGGATGTCTCACCTGCCATGGCTGCAGGGAGAGGACTAGAGGGAATGGCCTTGAGCTGAGATAGGGCAGAGGCAGAGGAGATGGTAGGAAAAAATGTTTTCCCTGTTAGAGTGTTCAGGCACTGGAATTGCCCAGGGAGGTGTTGGAGTCACCATCCCTGGGGGTGTTTGAGAGGTGTCTGGACCTGGTACTGGAGGATCTGGTTTAGGGTTTAGGGGTTGCAGCAGTGACAGGTTAATGGTTGGACTTGCTGATCTTAGAGGTCTCCTCCAGCCTTGATGATTCTATGATTCTATGAATTGAAGTTTTTCATCCAATCTGCTGAGCTGGGACCAAAGGTAAAACCCCTCTGGGCAGAGGCCCTAGGAAAGCAGCACAACTCTTGCTGTTGGGGTGTCTGCACACCCCAGGCAGGTTTGGGCTTCCCTTCTCCATCGCTGGTACTGAGACTTTTCCTCTCACACCTGTGCAAAGCTGGTGGGAACTGGGACGTTTATCTCAGGCCTAGCATTGCTTGTTGGGCTGCTCTGGTTTATCTAATCTGGGTCTGGGAGTTCCCTGGGGGTTTTCTGGGTGTGATTGCTCCCAGCAGGAGCTCTCCTGGTTCCTTAGAAGATCAAAGACCAAAGTGTCTGCGTGTGCTGCTCAACAGTCCTGCCAAGGGGGCCCCGATGGCAGACCCCTACATGCTGTGGGAGGGAAGAGCACCATGGACACAGCCCTGAATCTCACTTGTGACCATCCACCAGTTCCCTGGCCCAGCAAACTGCTCCTCCCTGGTCCTACAACATTCCATAATGGGCAGTGCCTCACAAGGACTGCTCTGTGCCCTTTCTGAGCCTGACAAGGGATGAACACAGCCCACAGAGGCTTCACAGGGCACCTTGGAGCAGGGCAAGGGCATCCCTGGGAAATGTCTCCATATCTGGCCTCCAGAAGAGTCACTCACCTTCTCTGTGTCCTCCTTCTTGACAGACTTGAGGTTGGCTCTGAGGTCCATGGACACCTTGTGCTTGGAGCCCAGCAGAGCCCTGAGCATGGCGTCGGCAGAGACGCGGACGCGCCGCAGGGGAGGTCGCTTGAACTTCCCTCTCAGATCAAGAACTTTGATTTTCAGATCTTTAATCTGCAGTTTGAGGGGAGAAGGAGGAACAAGAGGTCACCTAATGGCTGTCTTGTACAAAAAGCTCCTGGGTGAAGCAGGAGGGTCTGCCACACTGAGCCCCAAGAGGGCTCTGTGCCTCTCCTGCAGCCGTGAGGACAACCTTGACCAGGGGACTGGGACACCAACAGTCCCTTCACCAAGGGACTGTCCACCTGAGCACAGAGCTGCTGCCATGGCCTTGTCCCAGCCTGCTCAGATGGCAGCAGTACCACAAGAAGCTCTCAGACCCACCAGGAGAGCTAGGAGGTTGCCTGTGGACCTCATGGACAGTTTGAGTTCCCTTGGGCAGGGTTAAATCTTGTGCTGAGTGGTGACTTGCAGAGCCCTTAGCTAACCCTTGTGCATGTCCCACATCCAAGCTCAGCCCAGTCCCTGCCAGAGCCACATCAAGGCCAGAGTTGCCACCTGGGAGGGAGTTACCACAGAAGTAAACAGCTCATGCTGCCTCCTACCTCCCTGGTGTTATGGTTGCATTTGGCTTCGATGTCATATCGCTCTTCATCCACAATCTCGACCTTCTCATGCAGCTCCCTGCACAGATCCTGGAACCCAAGCACAGCAGGAGAGTGGTGAGTGATGCCCCTCCATGCTCCCAAGGAGCTCACTCCCCACTCAGCCCTGAGAAGTACCTGGAGCTGGCTGAGAGAGAGCCCACTGGTGTGCAGCGGTGTGATCCTCTCAGACAGGTATCTCTCCTTCTCTGACTGCTTGTCCACAATCTCCTGGTCCCACTCCTCCTTGGCTTTTGCCAGCATCAAACTCTACAAGCACAAGTAAAGGCAAAAGTGTGAACAGGCCTCTCTGTTCCCCTGGAGTCTATTCACACGCCATCTGTAGCATGGAGCAAGCCCTGTCTGCCCCCCAAGCCCCTTCCCTGTCCCCCCAAACACACATCAAAACCTCCCCACACCTTTTGTGTGGGCCCCTGGCAGCAGCGTGGGCAGCGTGGCAAAGGCACCCAGGGCTGTGGTGGTCCCATGGGTGCTGATATCAGCACTCCCTTTGCTGTGCTGGGACAGTAAATGTTTATCCCAAGCCACAGCCCAGGGAGCTCCCAGGCTTGTGCTGCAGAGCTGCTGGTGTACAACACAGGGGCTGAAGGTGTCAGGGTGTCTCCCCACCTTAGTGAAGGGGAGGTGAGGGGAGGTTTGTTTGGACCACAGAGCCCACATGAGTGAGAAGATGAGAGGTGGGCTGAGAGCTGCTCCCAACAGCCCATACTTGTGCCATTCCTCATCCTTGGCCCACCAACCACCCACTCCAAGCACCCCAACCCTGTTCCTTTCCTCCAGCAAGACAAACCCCAGGGAGTTTCCAACCCTGAGGACTCACCTTCAACATGAGCTTGCGTGAGGCTGTGATCTTGGATTTTCTCTAGGGGAAAGGGGAGGGAAAAGAAAACACCCTTTGAACACAAACTCCCAGCAAATGCAGAGCAGCATGGAAAGGGAAAGGCACTTACCTCCCTTCAGGCAGGTGAGCAGCCAGGAAGGAGCAGTAAGGAATGAGAGAAAAGAGCAAGGCAGCAGTGAATGAGGGCAAAAAAGGGGATACAGGCAAGAAACTATTTATAGCTATAGGCAAGAAACTACTTAGTGCCATGGTCTAATTGCCATGATGGTGTTAGGTCATAAATTGGACATGATAATCTCAGAGGTCTTTTCCAACCTGATAGATACTGTGAAAAGCAACTTGTGTGATTGCAGCTGGTTCACTATTTCTGTATCTATAGTTGGTAGCAGCATGTGAGCCAGCTCTGAGAGGACGGTGCTCTCTGGAGATGCAGTGGGAGCTCAGGATCACTGCTCAGAAAGCTAAAGTGCTGCTCAAATACCTCAGATGAGCTGCCACAGTGCCCATCATGCCAACCCCACCTTGGTCCCTGTGGTTGGGGCCACAACAGCCTCATTCATCTGCTCCCCATGCAGCTGGGCAGGATGGTTGGATCCTGCTCGGCTTTGCAGGATTGGGGCATCCCCACTGCTTGATAAAAGCTTTGCAGGGAGGTTTCTCCCTTATCTTCAGTCCAGGGAATGTGTTCTATTTGCACAATGTGCTACAAAGAGCCTCCTGGTAAATCCAGCAGTGCTGCCCACCTCAGATCCACATTTTGGGGTCTAGGAAAGCTCCAGGGTTTGAACTGGGACATTGAAACCTCTAACAATTTGTATTTAAAGCCAGTTTCAGCACGGGGGATGGCACAGAGGTGCTGAGCTCCAGCTGAGCCCTCCCCAAAGGGACAGGCTCAGCCTGCACGAGCAGCCAGTGCCCAGGGGAAGGTTTGGTGACATCCGAGGGGACCTCGGGCTACTCACGGCTCTGGCATCGCGGCGGCGGCTGTGCCCCTGCCAAAAGAAAAGGGCAGAAGCTGAAAGCTGAAAGCTGAAAGCTG